AACCCAGTGGGTCACGAACAGGAAGGGGGCGCATATACTGTATGAGAGACGGAGCTGGGAGATAATGAGCAGCAGGTGGATGTAATGATGGCTGATTAAGGTGAAGTGGCAGAACGACAGGACGAAACGGGGAAAAACCAACATAAATACAGGAAGCAAAGTCCAAACCATGACACATCAAGATGAGGTCAACTCCTTTGGTCACCGTTCTTTTAACCCAAAATCACAACTGGTTTGCACACCACAATTGTGTTTATATTACAGTATATTTCTGTATTTAAAAGCAATTCATTTGTATTTTTGTTTTCCTGATGCACATTCCTTTTCTTTTTTTGTTCTCTGTCTTGTTTACTTGTCTGCTCGTTGCCTTAGAGAAGAAGAACGTTGTACATACAGTACACATCAAATTCCTCTTGTGTTCAACACGCCTGGCTGATTCTGATTCAGCTTCTGATTCGGATGTCCTGCCTCCAACCTCTGACTGCTGAGCTTTCATGCTCACCACATGCCGCTGTCCATGCACTATATGTCATGGGGTGCTCCAAAGTTCTTTTACAAGAAATAATCTAACAGATCCCATTGGTTCTAGCATCCCTAAACTGTCACAGTTAGCATTTAGTGTAGCTTGATTACTGTATATTCTCAATGTTTCCATCTAATCCTTCATTTGAATATATTCTCTCATACTCTAAATTGGTTCAGTCACCAATCACTCTGTTGCTCTCCCACCTTTGATTATTATCAGTCCTAGACTGTCTTGACTTAAAAAAACAATATAAATATAACCATTTGTATAGTTATTTATGGTTAGACATGGTTCTCACTGTCTACTGTATATCCTTATAATATTTTTCTTCTTTAATATCAGATTTAACCTTATCTAATATCAGTCCCTGAAATAACTACTTGAAGAGTGACTTTGGATAAAGAAATATATTATATCATATATTTCCAAACATATATCCACTCAGTAGTGTGTCCACCACACATGTTACAACCAAGGTGCTGTCTACAAACCCAGTGACAACACACACCAGACTTTTATTTGATCTTTTTTATGTTAAGTTGCTGGAAAGAACTCTGCAGCTTGCTTTGAGTGTTGCCACTGATTTTCATTTGTCAAGGTGTTACACATAAGTGAATCATGCAGTATGATGATCTTTGTTGTTCATTGTTGGTCCTGGAATATAAATATGTGTGTTCAAAACTTACATTGAAAGTAACATTAATCATGACTGGAAAATTAAGTGTTACATAATTATTATGTACTGTACATTAGTTATTATTTGTTATCGGTGCAAGAAAATGTTGTGAATTTTTATATACAGAAACATAACCACCTGTCTATGACTCAGTGAAAGCTGCTTCCTTTTTCTCGAGTATGAAAATTTGCCCTATTAGAATCAGAGGCTCCTGACAGAACAGCTGAGTATTCGACCTCAAAGGATATAATTACACATTCATAGTGCACACTAAACAGAAAGCTAGCAGAGAATTAAAATGACACAAACTGTGCACAGTATTTAGTCAGTGTAGAAACACACTACATAACAATTAAAACAGATTTTGGTGAAGAGCTGTTTTGACAGGAGTGCATTTGGTTTGCTGACTTTCAAAAAAAATAAAGAGAGACTATAACTATGTCCATAAATTCTAGAGCTGTACTTTGTGGTCAGTGTGTACTTTAGATACACTGCTCAATAATATTATTCCTCACTGCAAGACAAAAAGACTGTTTAATTTAAATCTTTATAGACTGACCTACACAGAGTCTGTGTCTTGTAGAATACAGCATATACACTCTTCCTGGATTTGCTGATGTAATATGCTCAGCTGAGTATTACAAACTCATTTTTTAACACACACACACACACACACACACACACACACACACATACAGATAAAGAGAGAAGACCAGTGTAATAAATCTGAGAATAACAGAACAATTGCTTCACCTCTTGCAGACTAAACGACTGTCAAAACAACTACATTTAGAGCAAAGTATGCATTCTGTACTAACAGCCACATCAGGAATACGGAATGAGGACAGAACTGTCAGACACATCCAGTTCTGCTTTATTTGACTTTTTTGTTGTTGTTGTTGTTGTTGTTGTTGCTTCCTGCAAAGCACACATGCAGGGACCAACATATGCTCCTACCTTCAGAGAGTGAGTGAGGCAGCAAAACTGAGCTTGCCAATCCAAAATATTGACTCCAAATCAATCAATTCAACTACAGACCCACAAAAACAAATAAATGATTAAACTAATACAAAATAGAATGAAAAATGTTATGTTTTTCTTACTATGCATGACTCACCCGTGAGTGCTGATGATTTTAAGCCCCCAATAGTGAAGACGGATGATAGATAATCACTTTAATTATTTAGAAGTAAGGAATATCGAGAATTTCTTTGTGCTCACCTGAATAATATGGAATCCAACCCGTTAACATTATGTCCAGTCTGTTCAGACCTACCTCCTTGCCAAGGTCTTCTCTGATGACCTGCTGAATCTCCTCCAGGCTGCTCTGAGGGGCTCGGCTGTGGAGCACTTTCAGTGTGGATGTGTACTCCTCAGGCAGAAGGTAGTCCAAAGCACCAAGATGCTGGCCCACCTTGATGAAAGTACCCCTGTTGGCACAGCACAAATCTAGAAGGCGCTCTGCTGACCGCCGATGCACCTACAGGCATTGGTACAGAGAAAACCAAAAAAAAATAAAAAATTTAAGCCAGGATAAAAAAAAGTCTCATGGACTACTAGGAAAGGCCGTGAAGGTTATTAAAATGAAACTGCTTATTCTATTGAAAGCATGAGTGCATTAAAAGTCATGGCATTCTGACATGACATATTTGGTGTACAATTTGTCTATGGAAGAGTTCTTCCTTTTCAGACCAGGAATACACTCGGTACGTTTCACTGCATTCTGCCAACTGAAAAAAAACCCTCTCAAGAGAAATGACAGCAATGGTCATTTATTAAAACAACTTACTATCAAGCAGTTGTAAAGTAGGAAATTGTGCAATGATATAATAAAAGTGTAACAGTGTAAAGGGAAAGAATCACAGATGGATGTGCACACCAAAACTTTGGACTAGAATATACAGACAGTCAACAATGGTTTCCCTTGCATGAAAACAATTGTTTCCAGTACTCTAACTTCCCAAAGTTTAACCAAATTATTTTACTTGCTTAACTTAAAGCAGTTCTTAACTTTCTCCCTCTAACTTTCAGCCATTAAGAGCGAAGTAAACTAACTCCAGAAGTATCCCCTCCTCTTCTCCAAGTGTTCCTCTTGGCCTCTCCTACCCTGTCGCTGGAACTACGTCATATGTGGTCTTGACAGCCAAAGACAGTTGTGGCAGTCAGGTAACTCGGCAGTTATAAGCGGCTCTAACAAGTAATGAATATATAGCCAATAGAGCCCTTTGGTTTTCAGTGGCATTGCAGTGACACAATGTCATATGAAGAGGTTTACATTTTAATGATAAGCATACATACTATGTCTAACGTTGTTTGTAGTGAATGCATCTGCAGTAACACAATCAAATTATACAGAGGAATGCTTTTTCCTAGTAATTTTGATAGTGTACTAATGTTCTGGCCACTATCCCATCACAGTCAGTGTTACATACTTGACACACATGACCATGAGTTGTAGGTGAAACAAGAGAAATTACATGTTATGCTTCAATAGTTAATAAGCAAACTCCACACTTTTCTAGTTGTATTGATGGTTTAAATTTTAACAAGTTCACACTAAAATGCCACATGGACTGCTATGTCCAACATAAACAAACATTGTGTCCTGGACCTAGACCAAGCAAAAATTTGCAAATTGGACAAAAGCGTTGGAGCAAAAAGTTGTACCTGCACAGGGAGCCTCCATGATCTGTCTTTGAAATGAGTCATAGTGGTTTGAAAAACGTGTCTTATTGCTAACCTTGGATCAATAAACACAAGACCTGAAGATAGCAGAGTGGGGTGGAGGATGGGGGTTTAGCATAGCAGGGAGAAAGCACTTCTAGATGCTTGATTTACTTCATTTATCTGAATTTGTGCTAAATCTTAGTTAATGCAGCTTTAAATGACTGCTTAAACAGATTCAATACAGGAGTTGAAAGGATTTAGGCTCTGACTTGATAAAATGCTATCAATCCCCCATCCCTACAAAAGAAACAGACATACCAAATCAAGGGATAGGTTATTAGGGGCCCTAGTGGTGTGTGTGTTCTTGTACTATTCTGTCTGGTCCTCACTTTGTGAAACTCTTGTTGGGTTGAGACTTGGTTTTAGGGTTCAGGTTAGAATTAGGTTTAAGTTAGGTATTAGGGTAAGGTTTATTGTTAGGGATTTTTGTTTTGATGGTGAACGCTAGGGTAAGGGGGCAGGGAATGGATTGAGTGTCCTTACAAAGATAGAAGTACAAGTATGTGTGTGTGTGTGTGTGTGTGTGTGTGTGTGTGTGTGTGTGTGTGTGTGGTAGTGGTGGTCCCGTCCCGGCTGTCCCATTTGAACCAGCTGGAAGTGATAATGCTTACAGAGAGCTCCTCCCCTGAGACCAGTGCAAATAAAAAGCCGTGAAATTAGCTCCCCTTAACCTCTGTAACCTCACTACACACACCATGAATACAACCCAGTGCACACAGACACACACACACACGCGGACACACAGGCATGTTCCCCTAAGACCATTTGACATGAGCGTCATCTGGGCAATGATGACAAAGCAATGACAGAAACAAGTCGCCAGAGATTACCAGATGAGCCTTGCTGCTTAAAGATGCACTGGGAACCCTTTTGATAAAAACCATCACTACACTTTAAGAGCCACCCACTCAAGTCTGATGAGATGAATCACTAAAGGTAAAATTAATGACTGATTAAACTATTAAAATCCGGCTTATCAACCAAAAAACAAATGTATAGGTGTTATTTATACCAACTAGATTTTTGGGTTCAATCTTGAAATCCTATCCTACTTTCACAGTAGAGTCTGCTTTACATAGTTCAAATACCATTAGATAATAATAATAATAAAATACTAGAGCCTGCATGATAAGGGAAATATGCAATGTGTGATATCACTGTTCAATACGGCGATGATGATATGGCTTGCGATAAAAAAATATTTGTGTATTTTAGCTTTGCAGTTCCTATATTTTTCTGCTTTAATGGTAACACAGAACCCAAACATTAAATAGCTCATACACACCGAGTATGGAAATGAAATAAATTATTTCAAATCTTTTTACTGAACAAAACACACATACGTAAATATCCAACCAATCAACTGAATGTTTATATTAATAAAGTTTTTCCCCTTCTGCTTTTAAAATACATTCTTTTAAACTCAATATAAACATCTCTTGAAATATAAATATTCGGGGGGAAACTACTTAATACATGTAAATTAAAAAGCAATTTAAAAGTAAAGTAAGTAGTAGCATTTATATATTTTTTTTAATTGAACACAGTAATACTGTAGTAGGCTATCTCTGTGCTGTTGTGTTGTTCATCTGACCTGTCCCTCCTACTAGGTCTCCCACTGCAGTTGGCTGCTGCCCTCCTCCTACATCTCTCTCTTCAGCTCTCTCTTCCCGACCCTCTCTTCCTGCTTCAGCAGCACTGATTGAAACCAGTCAAAGAAAGTCACTTTCGGCTTTTCCTGTTTAGGGGTCGCCACAGCGAATCGTCACACTGACGACTCCCATATTAACATTTGGCACGTTTTACGACGGATGCCGCAACGGTGAGAGTGCTGCGCCTTAACCACTAGCCTACCATGGACAGCTTACTGATTGAAACCAGTAAATATGAGAAAATAAATCAACTGAATTACTAATCACACTGGTCAGATTGATCAGTTTTCCCACGTGTGTTTTTCGTTATTCCCCTGGAATGAGAGGGCGAACATTCAGCGTCATAGTTTATGAGCTAGCATTAACTTTACCCACTTACAGAGCAGTTCATATACATCCATACAGCATGCTGACCTTGACGACAGCTGTATTCTAACATTAGCTTAGCTAGCCTTACTAGCTTGCTGATAACATGTCAGAAGAGTTGGATCTCCGTGATTGACAGCATTGTGTTAAAAAACAAACAGGGAGAGAAGGAGCTGTTCACAGACCTTGCACAAAGGGACTGAGCAAATACATGACCTACACAAGGCACTATATTGAAACAAGATTTAACCTACATATTTTAAACCAATACATGGCAGTCAATGTTGATACTGTGGCAACCCACCACAAATAAATCAGTGTATGGGAAACACTGTGGCTTGTGTAAATAAAATGTTTTTTCTTATTCATCACGTTTCAAGCAGTCTTTTGTGATGTCTTTATTGCACATATTCGTATCGCGATAACGATGAAAATACGATTTATCGGTCAGCCCTACTAGAGGTGTGCCAATCGACTGGTGGAGATTGGAAATGGATGGTTTTCAGTGTGATCAGCCTTGACTGGTGACTGGCCGATCACTCTGAGGTTTCCGATTCTGTGCCAGTCAGATTTTGAGCAACAGTTCACTCACATGTTTTACTCGCACAGTAACTTCAATATGTTTTATTCTTATTACAATTTATATTTTATAATGGAAAAGTTACAAAAATGTTTGTGTATGCTATCAGTTACAGTTCTGGAACAGGCAGGTTAGACTTTTAAAAACTTGGAATCGGCCAAGAAAATTGCAATCGGTGCATCTTTATAAATTACCAAATACCGGAACAACTAATGAGTTTATTTTAGAATAAGTCAATCCTAATACTTTCATTAGGACCACATTGAGGGAGAAAAAAACATTGTGAATGTTTAGAATTTTAACAATTGTTCTAAGTGAATACTTGTCTTCAAATAACTGGGAATAAAAAAATTCATCTGAGAAAAATGTCAAATGTAGTAAGAAAAGAGACCCTTCTATTTACAATTTCAACCATGGTTTGTGGATTTAAAATGAACATAAACAGACTTAGCAATATTCATTCTTTCAATTTCGACTGATTTGCATTCTGACCAAAAAAAATCTATTTTGGCTAATAAAGTAAATGTTGTCCTATAATTTTCTGTTGTAAATGTATTTCCTTATTTACATTCTTTATAAAAAAACTTGTACAAATCAAACTAATCCATTTGTCATACATTTTGTCTTTTGATTTGGAAACACATTTAAGTTAAACATGAGCTTGAAATCTCAATTCTGGTCAGTATTCCTATCACATGGTATGATCATACAGTGTTGACTCTAGTCTGCTGTGGATAAAGATGTTTATTGTGGACACAATAGTAATATATATCTATGAAATCCAGTTTTGCCTTAGATTATTAAAGGTAAATGTTTTCATAATCTGATGAGATTAAATGAAAAATGTAGGAAATAGTAAAATAGCAATAGTAAAAGTTGGTATAGAGTGGCACATAATTTCATTGGCTGCTGATATGTCAATAAATAACACTGTAAAAGCAAAAAATAAAACTATTAGTTTAATATTCGTCTTCATTTTATTATTATTATTATTATACAGCACTGTTTTGGTGACATTCAGGAGACTGTTATTGCTCCTGAAATTTAACTTTTATAACATTATGTTTGGTTGCTATTATTAGCACTGTAATCTGTTAAAATATGGTTTGAAAAAAAATCTTCCAGTTTGAAATGGCAACAATATTCATCTTCTGA